ATCCATTAAAGCTCTCGATTGGTAACATCAGCAGACCAACCTGATCAACAACATCAGCAGAAATGGTTCGAAAAGTACAGAAGCGACTTGATCCAAACCTACGTCGCAGTGGCCGAGCTGAACATATCGCAATATTTCATTCGGCAAATATTGAAAAATGAGCTCGGGGTAAAGCTTGTCGCTCTCCGCTCGTATCAATCAACCGTGGCATTAGAATAAATGCTGAATATTATCGCGAAAATATTCTGGAGGCTGTATTAAAGCCTTGGGCAAGCAAACATTTTAGCCGCAGACCTTGGACATTGCAACAGGACTCAGCACCATCGCACTCAGCACGCGCCACCCAAGAATGGTTACAAAATGAGGTTCCTCGTTTCATTTCCAACGCACAATGGGCACCAAAATCTCAGGATACCAATCCGTTTGACTATTGTCTGGAGTATTTTAGAAAAAAAAAGGTTGGCACTAAAAAAATGTCAAAGTGTCGATCACCTCAAGCAAGCGCTTCGGCGCGAGTGGGCCAAAATACTACAGAGCAACATTCAGGCAGCGTGTGACGGTTTCATTGGCCGTTTGAAGGCCATAATTCGTGCCAAAGGTGACCAATTCAAACGAATCTAAACTTATTCTAAAATTTTATGCTATTTCCGACATATTTTGCTTTCATTCAACAAAATTAAAAAAAAATGTAAAAATTATGGCGTTAGATTTTGTTGCAGTATTTTTATTACACCCTGTAGTTCCCTATTGCATGCAAATCGTTCATCCTCTGAACATCAAACCCAAAATCCCCCTCGGGCCCCCTCCGAAATGACTACTTGATTGGAATTTTTTGTATATTTTTTTCATAGAACATTTAATTTTTTGCTAGTTCATCCCAAAAAGGGTTTCGAAATACACTTCCTGTCCTTGGCACTCATAAGGCCCAAATGCAAAAGCACTCACGTATACTTAAATGAATTTTACATTTTCTTTGACAGACATAGGGCGAAATATAAAAATTTTCCGCATAAACATAGAAAAAGATTTTTTGTATTATTCCTTCCTTGAGACCCAAATTTTTCCCTATATAAAAGTCCTTGAGTTGTGTCGAAAAAGCCTTTTTTTAGAAGTAAACTTGTTTGAACGATTATACTCTATTTGATTTGAGTTTGGACATTCATAACAACATTAACTAATTCAGGTCCGTTAGGCGTATTATCATGTCGCCTTTGATTCCTCTTTATGTATTGAGTTTCGTAGTTACGGAAATTTGCCCTGCCCAGGCAATGTTATTTATTATTCACCTTACAATACAAAAATGTCGATTTAAATCCTTTAGTCTGTAAACATATATTTTTCACTTAATCCGAAACTATGAAAATATTTGTTTTCTGATGGAATATCATCGAACTTGATTTAAATCAACTGGATCACAGTAACAAACCAAGAGTTATTTTCAACTATCATTTCAATCTGGACATGACAATTTAATAAACCGTTCAGCATATTTTTGACATCAGCAACAACTCGTTCACAGAAATGAAAAAAGAATTAACACTATAAACGAATAAAATTCATAATTCAATCAAAAATTTGTAGCCGGTGTCAAATCAAACATTTGTCGCCACATGGGAGGATGATGGCGACATGGCGACATTTTAAACATGGATTTGGCAATTGCATATTTTAGCCATGTCTATGAAATGAAAATAGTGGGAGAATCGAATAGACCACACTCAAACATACACATGCATACCAAGGACGTTAAACAAATTAATTTTTCACAAATCCCAAAGGGGCGGATGAGTTGCTTTTTTATTTTGGTTAAATTACAATAACTTACAATTTCATGCGAACGTCACTTTGTCGTCGTGGTTGTTGTTGCCGCTGCCATTGCAGTAAATAAATAAATACTGGGGGGACAAATTGTCGAAGAATTACAAGTGTTGCCGAGCTGGGCTCATATGCCAAATGACAGGTGGCAATATTTCGGCCCTAAATATGAACATCCACGTTTGCATTCGAGCAATTAAAGAAAATACGCCATAAAAAGTTGACTGTTGTGCACACCGTTGCCGCTGTTACTGCTGACAAATGCCATAAGGCTAGATTTATGTATTTACTGAAATAACCGCTGTCATAGCCACTTCCACCAACACCGCCACCGCCACCAAAAACAAACATCCCAATGCAAGCAGATAAAAACATTTTTACAACTTTAGCTGCAACCGAACAAGCTTTAGGACCTCTCCCATTAAGGATGACACAACTATTACTGCCGTTATTATTGCTGTGCACTTCGCAAAAAAAAAAACAGCATTGAAACGGAACCTGAATGCCAAAGCATTTTCAGGGTTGTGTGGGCGAAGGTGGTAGCAGTGCCCGACCAAACGGAACATGTGATAAATGATGAAAAAGTTATGATGACTTTTTGCCAAAGGAGAAAAATTAATAATGAAAGTTATGCTGATGCATTGCCACAGTCCACACATTACACAAGTGGTTGTTTTTTTTAATGGCAGAGGTCCATGGGAAAGGGTGTTGGTACTCTCTATTGGGGGGCTTGGTGGAAAATGAAAATGGAGGTTATGATTGCATTACCGCAATGAAGGGAAGATGTGGTCGGTTATAAGTGTGTAGTTGAATATAACGTTTGAATGCATTATTTCTAATAAGCAAATGTTCGGCAAACACCGCAACAAGCCGAGAAAGACTTTGAGATTTAAAAAAGATCACCTCAGAAAGTGTAGTTTTGTGATTGTGAAATATGGGAAATGCTTTATACTTGGCTCTTGGCGATAGTTTGGTAAGTACTAACTTCCTGCAACAAACCCATTATTTTGTAATGAAATTTTCTATACCCGCAGTCAATTGTTTTAGAACCTAGGTCTCTTTGGACCAAATTAATTTCAGGATATTTGGACTTGATCTAAGGATGTCCGTCCGTCTGCCTGTCTGCATGTTGCGCACAATAACTCTCGAAAGGAATATCCGATGTGGTCCAAACTTGACGCTTCGTAAAATTATTATCAAACTCAAATCGAGTTGGGGGATGGGCAATATCGGTCCACTCCTTCTGGTACTTCCCCACAAAAAGTCAAAATTTTCATAGAAAATAATTTGCCTCATAGAACAAAAACGGATCATATAATCTTCATCAAATTTTGCAAATCGTAATATCTCTATCTATTTTAGGTAGACTGCTAGAGTGGAAAACATCGGTCCACTCCATCAAGTATCTCCCACCAAAGGGTCAAAATTTTCAACAACATTAAAATAAGAGTCCGATTGTTTTAAACCAATCTGGTGTGAATATGTCGGACCACATATATGAAATATATTCTTCTGGTACCTCCCCCAACAACACTTTTATTACTTATAAAACTTTTAACATGCGAAAAAAGTTGGCGATTTTTTTTAAATTAAGTATTTTTTTGCTCAATATTTGACTAAACTCGATATCTAATATGAATATCAATCGACTCCTTTTGATACCTCCAACACAAGGGGTCAACATTTTAAATGAGTCAAGTGTCATAAAATTAAATTACCAGTTTGTCCTCCAGAAATCGTTTCGGATGACATTCTCGGGTAAGTCTTGAGTAGCTTTGGAGGTTTTCAAAAAAAGGTGAGGCTGCCACAACTTCTGTCATCAAACGGCCAACCGCGACAGATTAATATGGATAAATGACTACCGATATACAACTGGACTGGCCGATAGTATTTAGATTCAAATGATGGGAGAAATGTTCAAAAGTTTTATAGGTCAGAGACGTCTCTTCAAGACTACAGTTACCGATCTACAAGAGAAGACTCAGGTTCTCCTATAGCAGTACCTGCATGCGTCCTAAAGCCTAAAAGTTACTTACATAACTTTATGAAAAAATCTCCTAACACGTCATTCAGGGACGTTGGAAGAGATCTTTTTCAGACATTTTAGACAAGATCAGCTTAAGCTTAGAACAATACAGTCTAAAGCAGGTCCGAGCAGAGTCGCATTTCTATCTTTTCCTACTTCTATATTACTCTCTGTTGGCATTGGGAATGATTGTGAGTGTGGAGATAATTACGTTCAGTAAAGGCCGGGTGCATCGAATTGATTTACCATACTCTATACCAACTATGAACAGCCTCGAATGAGAAAGGATAAACAAAGCACACGCATTTTCTCTCGATTTTCTTTTGCCGTTGATTTGGCCGAGCTAGAGAGTATCTCACGACTACTAATGCATATATTGTGACCAAGGCTTCTCTATAGTATAGAGAGTCTATAGCATATAGACTCTATACACGTCTAGCGTGTAGACTAGGACCAAACCACAATGCTAAATCTCAGCTGAGCTGTTTTCAGTTTTCTTTTAATCCGGTCTAGGTTGCAGCCTTTCTGAGTTGCTAAACGGCGAAAACATATCGAGATCCATGAATATCTCATGCGACGTTGCAGGACTCACTCGCTGCTCGCCAATCGGTTCGTAATATGCTAATCGTATGTTTCCTGTTGACTCCTGGCAATTTGTTCAATTTGACCGATTCGTTCTCTCTACATTACCTACCTTTTAATACATGTCATTCCTTTGTAGAAGAGTTCTGAACATCTCAAGGATACTACCGCGTAACTGTGTATCCATCAGGCAAGGGGTATCAATCAAATGTCAGCCAGCAGACAACAATCAACCAGTCAATCCAAATGCCTGCGCACATAATTTGATGCTTCGAAAACAATTTATATTTGCCTTAAAAGCCTCTGCCGCGTCGAATCGCTAATGCCGTATGCGTCATAAATCCAAAATGTACAATTTTCACAAATTTATCTCTCCTCTCCATTGGCACCCTTTTTAGCAAATATATAGTATGTATGTATGCAAACTCTATGTAAATTTTATGACAATCCTTTACTTATCCGACATATACCTACGTACATATGCAAGCATATAAATGAATGCTACACATACACATGTATTTTTTCTATATTAAAATTAAACTTTTATCAAGTGATGAATGATGTTGCCCATACTCACATGTAAAATATTCTCAATGTAATAAAAACCAATGTGGTGACATCTGCAAGTTATCTGAAAAGTACATTAAGTGAAAAAAAAGAAAGTGAAATTATTATCAAATGGAAAAAAAGAGAAAAACCCAACAACAACAAATAAATAAAATTTATTAATATTAACTGGCCTTAACAACAACTGCACAGCCACTGGATCGGGGAATCGCCAAGGCACACTACAAAAAATCACAAAGTTCAGAGCACACCACGCGCACACCATTCATCCACCCTACACGCTCGCTTGTTCTATAAATATTAATTTGCTTTAATTTAAGGCAATTGTAGGCGAAGCAAGAAGATGTCTTGTCGCGCAACTACAGCTGCTCGTTGTTGAGCTGCACTGACTACAACTATGGTTCGCACCATCATGCGCCGGACAATATTAATACTTATATATTGAATGACCCGCCTCGTCTATCGGTCCTTGGTAAGTGCAATTTCGAAATTGATGTACGTCGAGAGTAATAAACTCGAAAGTTTACAATTGACCGGCCCAACGAGCGAGCGGGCGAACGATCCGTTGTAATATTCAGTCATAAAAGCGATGCACTCGTAAAATACGTAACTATGGCCATAAAAAACGGTGCCGGGCCGCAAACAACGACAGATAATAAAGTTTCCCTTCAATGAGGACTTTATTGCCATTATGAGTGTTTGATGTTGTATTGTTGCGACTGACAGGTGAAAGGAGCGGTCGACCATGTTGCAGATAACTAAATATCGTCAACATGGGGAACTTTATTAAATTGATTGCTGTTGTTGTCGATGTTGGGGAAGTGAAATAATTGTTTAAAACATCATAAACTTGTTACACACAATCGAGGTATGAAGTAACCTAACTCTCCCAGTAAGGGGAGATACATTTGTATTCCCAATAAATATTAGTTTTTTGGTTTTAATATTAAAATTTACGATAATTGTTTGAATCGCAGTATTTGTTTATTAAAAAAATGTTTTGATTTCACATTAATCAATGTTGTTGTTTTCCGCCTTTTATCCGCATAATTAATATCTGTACATAAATGATTTGTTAGTAGAGTAAATATTATACGAAGGTATCAGTTTCGATTTTTTTCATATCCCAACGCTATGAAATTAATAATGTTTAACGAGCATAGGATATATTTGCCAAGCAAAGAGATCAATTTTACATCGTTCAAAAAAATGCAATAATTAATTTCATTAAAAAAAGCACAACCATTAATGGTTAAAATGAAAACATATAAAATATGAAAAAAAATGTTTACATTGGGTTGGGTTGATTTTTGTGATAGGAGAACTACAGCGATCAAAATCAAGCTATAACATTTAAATTAAATTTCGTGCATTAAATACATTTTTAGGAAATGTACATGGTACACAGGAACAATTTGGAACCTACATGAGTCTAAGAATAGCCGAAGAAATCAACAAATGCGGAACAGACTGTTAGGGTCCGAAGTACAAACCTGTGAGTTCTAGTTAGAGTTATATGCGCTATAGCAAAAAGTGGACCCAAATATTCAATGTTCTGCCAACAAAGCTAGAACCCATTATAAACTACAAATACCAACTTTTAGACAAATCCGTGGAAAACTGTGGCAAAAACCATCAAAATACCTAATATCGGGAGATACCGTTATATGGGGCTATACAAAAACATGGACCTATACGTATAATGTTTCACCACCAGAGCTAGAACCCATTACGACCTACAAATACCAATTTGTAGACAAATCCATAGAAAAATGTGACAGAAATCATGAAAATATCGAATATCGGAAGGTACCGTCATATGGCGGCTATACCAAAACGTGGACCGATATATCTCATTTTCAATACTAACCATCCCAGACACAATACCAATTGCTCTGCCAAATTTATACGTTTTATAACTGCTGGTCGAATATCCAATAAAACAATAAAACCAAATTTCCCAGCAGAGGCAGCGGGATAAGCGATTAAGCGAGATGAGCTCCGGCGTGCCAAACCTACTGATCCCAGAGTCAGTGAACTGACAGTGGAAGTCAACAGATTGGTCAGAAGTACAAGCGGAAAAAGTAGCTACACCATCTAAATTGTTGCAGCATTGGAAGCGATATAAGTATACTGCGATGTTACGAATGTCATCCGAAAGGTTGAGTCATCCAAAGCAAGATGGAATCTCAATTGTAACGTTGAAACAACAGTCGAGTATCTTACTAAAGTCCTTAACCTGTCGTTAGCCACCTATCCGGAAGCCTGGAAGATAGGCCGGGTGGTCCTGCTATTGAAGCCAGGCAAAGATACCAGTAAAGGGGAATCATACAGGCCAATTTCGCTTTTGTTGTCAGTACTAGGGGCTTTACTTCTCCCCAACATCAGAGGAAGTTATCCAGTTGTCAACCATCGATATGGTTTCCGTCCACAATACTCTACTACAACGGCATTGCAGCTGTACAGAACAGGCAGCCATAGAACAGTAATATTGACTATTGACTTATCAAAGGCATATGATACTGTCAATCATTCCACGCTATTCGATGACATTGAAAACACGACCATCCGGCCGAGTTTGAAATGTTGGATAGTCAATTATATCCGGGATATTCCGGAGTCCAAGCCTCGTAAATTGAAACAGAAATCTCTCCAAGGTGGGGTAATATCTCCGAAACTGTTTAGCCCCTATCTTTTCGGAATTCCGCGCCCTGCAGACGCACTAAGATCGTTACCTATGCGGATCAATGTACTATCATGGCGTCAGGTCCAACCGTTGAAGACATATCTCGTGGAGCTTGCCGCCTTCTTTCATGCGAGGAATATGAAAATATCCGCCACCAAATCAACGGGACATGAAATTCCGACCACTAATTACCCCAAAATCCTTGGGGTTACATTCTACAGCAAATTCAAATCGCTCGCGAAAACTGCAACTATCCGCGGTAAGTTGAAAAGTAGGAGCAAGGTCCTCATGGCCCTAACCAGCTGCACTTGGGGCGCAGATAAAGAGATTTTCATGATCTCTTATTAAGCGATTCCGACTTATCTGTGGTTAGCTATGCGGCTACAGTGTAGACTGTGAATACGAGTGCAACACAATGGAAAAGTATTCAGATATGCCAGAATCGCGCACTGAGAGCTACACCCTGTTGCCTTCTCATGACTCCAGTGAACCATTTACATGAGTAGATCACATATGCTTCATCAAGCATATGCTTTAGTTGCTGTAACTGCTCAGGTGTGACCGTGGGAGTTATTCTAACCATTACGTGGTGGACAGAACTCCCCCATGTGGTGGAAAGAACTCCTCAACGTCCAACGACACAATAGAGATCATTAAGATCAGGAAGTCAATCAGCCATATCAGTTAACTATTACAGTATTAATGTTATCCTCGAAGTTTACCGAAGAACATGGCCTGCGTGGATAAACTCAACTACGTTTCAATTCATATTGGTAAGATTTGTGGATCTTATATTCTTATATTTCATCAAGATTTGAGGATCTTATATTTCTAATTGTCCTGTCAAACCTACCCAACTCTCTCCAAAGGATCTTTGGTAAAAGCCCATAAGAGTGGCTAATTTCCTAAGCCTGGACATTGAAGCAGAACCGGATTAGCAGTCCATAAACAGCAACATATGTTACGAGACGTTAAGTGGCTTATCAAGCATATTTGGTGTGAATGATGGATTATAAGGCCGTTCTTTACAAAGTTAGTGCGATTAAGCATAAGCGATCTAAACGCCAGAACAATCCTGATTCAACTATATTGCTCTCAGGGCATAAACCTGTCATTGTGCTTCTTTAGAAGAAAGTTCTTTTGCCGACAAACTTTTCGTGTTTTCCTCTTTTGATGTTTATTTGCCGAGCAGATTGGAACTTAGGTTTTGAAATACGACGCTGACAGTCATTACATGGTAATGTAAAAATAAGTTATTTTGGCTTGTAAATGTAATAGTACTTCTCAGTTTTTAACTCTCTGCTACTGCAGAATGTAGCATTGATTTATTTGGCTCATTGAGCTTCCGTGTGTTTGCTGGGTTAGATTAAATTAACTCAAATCAAAAGAAAAAGAAAATAAAACTTAATTCCGATTTTGCTTGATTTCCTTTCCAAGTATTGTTTACAAATAAATATAACAATATCCATAGCTACAAAAATGATTGTGTATTGGAGTCCATAAAAGTGGCGTTCGTTGATGTGGGTCCGCCTCTCATATGTACTCTCCAATTAAGGCCAATTGACCCAAAGGCAACGAATAAAAAGAAGATGTTTACCATAAAACATTTCATGTTATGGCTGGCTGGCTGGTTGGCCGGCCGGCTGGTACTGCCTCTCCCTCAATGCCTATCTATGCTATGCCAATACTATTGTTGTTATTGTCGTCGTTGTAACTCTATTGACCTTTTATGTTTGTTAGTCATCATCATCGAATATCGTCATGTATCTAGCCTTTATTACAGTTATGGTACAGCCTCTCCACGTTCTCTCTGGCCAATATAGGAATTTGACCTAAGCGTGGAGGTTAAGACCATTTCATAATCAATTTGTCGATGACTTTGTTCCATTTTTGTGTCTTATTTCTACAGGCATGAGATTCATTCTGACATGAAAAACCTAAACTATTATATTGTCGCATAGGTTGGTGGTACTGAAAAACTGAAAAAAGCAACGAATGGAAATTGGAGAAAATAAAAATTGAAACAAACAGAAAGTTACAAATTATAATTTCAGTTTTTTTTTCAACTACTAACTCTGTTAAATGGTGTTAAATAATTGTTTACATTTTGTTGCTTTTTCTTTTGTTTTTGTTCATTGTTGTCTGCAGAGCACAACAAAACTCGTTGCAAATCAATGAGCCCTAACGATAGAATGAGTCTACAAACGAATGAACGATAAATGTAACTAAAAACAAGGGAGCAGCAACCAACAAAAAATGCAATGAAATGTGCAAACTACTAAAAAGAACGATAGTCATTGAAATGTATGTGTGTGTGTGTGTATTGGAACATTAATGATAAATGGATTCGAAATCCGAAATCAATAAATGCTGAAAAC